GTAGCAGGAAAAGCTTTTGCAAAAGTCATCTTAATGAGCTTACAACAGCTGAAGAAACGTGTCTACCCTGAATCACAGTGTGGATTCAGGGCTGGAAGATCAACTATAGACATGATATTTTCTCTGCGTCAACTCCAAGAAAAGTGCAGAGAGGAAAACCAACCATTGTACATCGCCTTTGTGGACCTAACACTGTCAGCAGAGCAGGTCTATTTGCTATACTACAAAAGATAGGATATCCACCAACCCTATTAAGTCTTATATGTTCATTCCACAACAACATGAGAGCAACTGTCCAGTTTGATGATTCCACTTCAGAGAACTTTGAGATGAAAAGCTGAGTGAAGCAAGGATGTGTTCTTGCCCCTACACTCTTTGGAATCTTCTTCTCAGTACTCTTGAACTGTGTGTTTAAGGACATGAAAGATGGAGTGTATCTCCCATAAGATCAGATGGGAAACTCTTCAACCAGCCCCCGACTTAAGTCAAAGCCCAAAGTAAAAAAAAGTGCTAATCAGGGAACTTCTATTCCCTGATGATGCTTCCCTCATAGCCCACAATGAAGATCTATTACAAGAACTCATGGACTGCCTTTCAAGTACCCGTCAGGCATTTGCTCTCACCATCAGCATCAAAAATATGGTTGTATTAGGACAGGGCGTTCCACAAGATCCTTCAATTACCTTAAATGCAAATCAGCTAGAAGTAATCCAAAAGTTCAGCTATTTAGGTTCTACAGTGACCACCAACCTCTACCTGGATGAAGAACTAATTGTTTGCATTGGAAAGGCTGTCACCACCTTTAGCAGACTAACTAAAAGAGCATGGAACAACTCAAAGCTTATCATCAAAACCAAAATGCTACCGTACCAAGCTTGCGTCCTCAACACTCATGTATGGTGGGGAAACACGGACAACTTATGCTCATCAGGAGAAAAGGGTGAACAGTTTCCACCTACGTTGTTTACCCTGCATACTCAACAACAAATGGCAAGATAAAGTCACCAACGCAGAGATTCTTCAAAGGGCAAATTTACCAACTGTGACAGCCCTGCTCAAGCAAAGACGACTGCGCTGACTGGGCCATCTGAGTAGGTTGGAAGGACATGCTATATGGGGAGCTATCAGAGGGAACAAGAACAACAGGACATCCCAAGCTTCGCAATAAAGACGCATGCAAGCGAGATATGAAGGAATTTGGAATTGATCCTGAAAAATGGAAAATGTTGGCAAGTTATCGTAACAAGTGGCACCATCATCTCCATCAGGGTATCAAAGTCCATGACAAGAGCTGGCTCCTACAGTTTGAGGAGAAAAGAGCCCAGAGGAAGCAAGCAGCTCCCAACCAAGATACTTACATTTGCAATAACTGCCAAAGATCATGCAAATCTCGGATTGGCCTATTCAGTCACATGAGACATTGCAAACCATGTACTTCATAGCCTGCAATTCCCACCATCTCTCGCAGATGAAAAGATGCCAACACCCATTAGGCAGGGGGTTTGAGAATTATCATTTTGTGTGAAGATACGAAAAGTACTACAGTTAGAGCTCAGTGAATAATGGATTTTTCAGTTCTCTGGCAATTCCGAAAAATACAAAAATTGTTTAGGTCAAACAAAACATTTAATTTCAACAAAACCATTTAAAACATTTGATAGTTTTTGTTTTTTTAATTGGAAAGTTTGAAAAGTAATTTTGAACCAAAAAATTTAAAATGTTTCATTTTGAAAATATCAAAACAAAATATTTTGTTTATTTGGGACAAGGTGTTATTGAAACAATTTGGCAAATTTGTCATGAATTCATTAAAAGTTTTGGTGTCACCAAAGCTCCACTTTTTGCCAAAAAAGTTTCAGTCAAAACATTTCACCTAGTTCTAGCTAAAACCTTATTACTAAAGAGTGGGTATTGGAAGCAATTATAAAGTATGTGGAGTTGGCCAGTTTTTAGGCATCAGAAATGGTGTTTTGAAGACTGTGAGAAATATTTGTATTAATGTTAGAATATTGTGTGTACTTCTGATAGTCACTCAGTTGCTTAATGACAGCTAAGAATTAAGTCAACTTTATCGGATCTGTTTTTGGTCTACAGAAACCAAAGTTAATGGCTTTATATAGCTCTCCAGCAATACCGGGGTCAAGACCTTTTTTTTGTTACGTCTCTAAGTGAGGCATAACTGTCCTCTACTTTAGGACAGGGACAGGGTCCTTTAGACAGGAAACCTTAAACAAAGAACTTGAGAACTGTTAAGAAGAGCAGCCCTGATGCACAGCAAGGGAACGTCAGGGTCTGCAGAAAAGCAGAAGGAAACAGTCCCCAGAAGCAGAAAGGTACCTGGGATAAGCTAGACCTACCTGTCTTTTGAAGAAATATTAAGCTTTAGGTAAGACAATACGTTCGCTGTCCTTTTGTTGTTTTATCACTTTTCTCTGATTGCTATGTAACCATGGATATAAAACTTTGTTTGGAAGAAGCTGTTCAGAGTCAGTATGTTTACTTACTGATCACAGCATTTCAAAGGCAAATTCATTAAAATTGCTGAGGAAACATGATTGAGAAACAAGGGTACAGCAACATGGAGAGCCAGTCTAAGAGTCAGGTAAATAGAAAGATTCCACTTTGAGAGAAGTGCAGGTGCTGGGCCTCTCACTTGAAACGGGGTGCCCAAACAGAGACTGAGTGAGGAGTCAAAGGAACTGCTAATCCTGGACTGTGAGAGGTGTCAACGTTATTTGAGTCAATTATACCAGTGTTTCCTGTAAATTAAGTTTCCTCTCTCTCTTGAAATTTCAGATTGTACATAAAAGCAGCATCACCATCACAAATATTCTGGTAAGAGTCTGCCTAAGCACAACTAAGAAATGAATTCAAAAACAGCCAGCACTGACTGAATACTGCAGCTAATAATTCTAGCAAGTAACAAAAGTCTTTGAAGGATGGAGCTACCATACCCATTGGCTGTTTTCCTTTCTTTAGTGTCTTTTGTGGTGGTAAGAGAGATCATTAGATGTATTAAGTGCCTTAGAAAACTTTACCACCACTAATCAATTAAACTTTACAGGACTCTTCTGCGACAAGTAAGGAATAAAATATTATCTTCATTTTACAGATAGGAAAATTGATGCACAGAGAGATTAAGGTGTTCTGATGCCACAAATTGGCGTGGCAACTTCAGATCCAGTAAGAGGACAACTAGGGTAATTCATGAATGAAGAGAGAGATAGAGATTTGCCCAAGGTCAAATAACAAACTGGTGGCAAACCTGAGCACAGAAACCAGATATGCTGATTTTTAGTCCTTTCATCGAATTACTAGATCATGCTTGTGACGTTCCACTCCATGTGCTTTTTGGAAATATTCTTATGAGTGTGAATATGATGTAACTAGAATAAGCTTTATGCAAAAGGTCTCTTGTAAGGTATCATAACAAAGGTTATAAACTACTAAATATATTTCTCCTTTTTGGATGCATGTATCATTCTTGTATCTGAAGCTAGAAATATGAAGTATAACTCTGAGGTCCTACTGTAATTAAGCGAAGTGTGGGCCATTAATGGTGGTTTAGAATCTTGATGGCTCACATTGACTAGGACAATTGGTTGTAAAGGTTATTTACCTGCAAGCCTTTCTGTGTACGTGTGGACCAGCCCATGGGGAATGGAGAGTAGGGGTCTTACAGTGACATGTGACCATGTCACCTGATAATGAAATCCATCTTAAATCTGGTACTCTTCCATTTAGAAGGAGGGGTGGGGACCCAAAGAGACGAAAGATTCCTACCTTGTGCCAAAGCTATAAAAGGGGGTGGAGCAGGACAAAGGGGGCTGCCAGTCATGAGAAAACCCCTGGTTACCAACTGAGATGTCTGCTGGAACTAACAAGGACTGTATCAGGGGAAAGGAGGTAGTCTGTAAAAGAAGCTTATTGGAACATCTCTGAGAGTGAGATATTATCTGTAATCAGTTTCTTAACGTATTAGGCTTAGACTTGCGTGTTTTTGCTTTATTTTGTTTGGTGACTTACTTTGTTCTGTCTGTTATTACTTGAAATCACTTAAATCCTACTTTTTATACTTAATAAAATCACTTTTGTTTATTAACAAACTCATACTTCATATTTCTAGCTTCAGATACAAGAATGATACATGCATACAAATAGGAGGAATATATATTAATACCTGGGGGAGCAAACAGCTGTGCATCTCTCTCTATCAGGGTTATAGAGGACGGACGATTTATGAATTTACCCTGTATAAGCTTTATACAAAGTAAAATCAATTTATTTGGGGTTTGGATCCCATTGCGAACTGGGTGTCTGGGTGCTGGAGATAACTGAAAACAGCTCAGCAGGTTACCTAAGTCTGCAGCTTTGAGGGCGTGCACCAGACCTTGCGTCTGTGTTGCAGCAGGCTAGTGTGTCTGGCTCAACAAGACAGGGTTCTGGAAGTCCCAAGCTGGCAGGATAAACAGGCTCAGAGGTAATTTCAACACATTAGGTGACAGTCCCAAGGGGGTCTCTGTGACCAAATTATCATTTAATGACAGACGTTGAGATTCAAAAAATTAAAGCTTTATGACCATTACAACATAAATTTATCAACATCATATGTCAAAATACAAAGTAAACATCCAGTAATCAAAGTCTAATAAGCTCTCAAACAGTATTTTTCTTACCTTGCTTATCTATAAATTTTGATCATCAATAGAAATATTTTTTCAGTTTGTCTGTGTGTGTGTACAGTGAAATCGATGTATATCATTTTTATCAATAAAAATATAATCCTTCCAAGACTAACTATGAGATAGGTAATGCGATGAAGTGTATTGACAATAAAGATATAAAATTTTATATAATCGGGCACAATTTTGAATGCCATAAGCATTGAGAGATTTTTTAGTCTTACATTTCAAAAAACAAGTTTCACTGACAAACTAAAAAACCTTTTCTTTTAAACATGCGGTGGTTTACTAAGAAAAATCAGTATGAAAACCACATACTTGCTGCTTGTTCTCTTTAGAATATGGTAGCATGGTTGAAACATGGAACATAATCTCATGCCCTTGATACACTGTGTAGATGGAACATATTCCTGTTGTATCATCTGCAAAGGAAGAAAACCACTCTCAGTAGGATTATGCAATATTGCATTTCTAAGGAGAAAAGGAAACTTCATTTCCTGCCACAGAACAGTCTCAGGGCACCTCCTTTTCAGATCCATACTTCTTACTTGCCTTTAAACAGGACAAAGTTAATTAGAAAATCTTGACATCCTGCATAATTTAAATTATATATAAAGGTGTGTCAAGGTTCCTCCCCCACTCTGAACTCTAGGGTACAGATGTGGGGACCTGCATGAAAACCTCCTAAGCTTACTTTCACCAGCTTAGGTTAAAACTTCCCCAAGGTACAAATTAATTTTATCCTTTGTCCCTGGATCTCCACTGCCACCACCAAACTCTAACTGGGTTTACTGGGAAACGTAGTTTGGACATGTCTTTCCCCCCCAAATCCTCCCAACCCTTGCACCCCACTTCTTGGGAAAGGTTTGGTAAAAATCCTCACCAATTTGCATAGGTGACCACAGACCCAAACCCTTGGATCTGAGAACAATGAAAAAGCATTCAGTTTTCTTACAAGAAAACTTTTAATAAAAGTAAAGAAATCCCCTCTGTAAAATCAGGATGGTAGATACCTTACAGGGTAATTAGATTCAAAACATAGAGAATCCTTCTAGGCAAAACCTTAAGTTACAAAAAAGACACACAAACAGGAATAGTTGTTCTATTCAGCACAGTTCCTTTCTCAGCCATTTAAAGAAATCATAATCTAACACATACCTAGCTAGATTACTTACTAAAAGTTCTAAGACTCCATTCCTGTTCTATCCCCGGCAAAAGCAGCATACAGACAGACACAGACCCTTTGTTTCTCTCCCTCCTCCCAGCTTTTGAAAGTATCTTGTCTCCTCATTGGTCATTTTGGTCAGGTGCCAGCGAGGTTACCTTTAGCTTCTTAACCCTTTACAGGTGAGAGGATTTTTCCTCTGGCCAGGAGGGATTTTAAAGGGGTTTACCCTTCCCTTTATATTTATGACAAGGTGGACTACCCAAGCTAGTGATGCAGTCACATTAATGTTTCTGCCAGTGGACCTACCCTGAAAGGAGATATGTATCCAGCAACTCAGTTAAAATGCATCGTGAACATAAACAAATTCAGCCACCAACTCATATCAGTAGAATCTCCATTCAAGAAATCCGTAATTCAGTAAAATATACTCCTGTGTTTGGGGCTGACAGCCAGTGCATATCTACATTCTCAATCATGGCTTTCGACTGAATAATGAACTCCTCCTACAGAGTCCCACTGAAGACACGTATCCAGTTTAGTTTTATTTTAGTACACCATGAATTCGAAGGGGTCCTATCCTGCAGAGATTTGTGCCTGACAAGTCTAATTTTTGTCTCTAAGAGAAAAAGGAGCTGAATGTGACTTCTTTACAGTATGTGAAGTTGTTATGCTATTTAACCACCTGTAGCTAACACCATGACACAGAATATGTGGCCAGTTCATGACAGGAAAGATGCAGTCTAAGAAAACAGACAATGTGAATTTGTGAGGAATAAATAAGGTTGAGGCTGCATCATGGAAATCCTCCAAATTCTAGGCTCTGTCAGGGGGCAGAGTGGGATGGTAGGGAAGTATGCTATGCCAAAGCTGGGGGGGGAAGTGCCTGATATGTTATTTCCTATTATAGTCAGTGGGGATGCCTCTTCATGCTGATATCCCCATCCCAAGCTCTGTTGTGAGGAAGGGAGTGTCTCACATTGCTTAGCTATAACCAACCCAGGATGACAGAGGAATAGTATTAGAAAGTTTTGAAAGGAGTATGACATGACAGACATAGCCTGAGTGGTGGAAACTGTATCAGGTTGTGTCAGTGGTGGGGAGATAAAGATTTACCAATAATATTAAGAACATTATTATTATTTGATTAAAAATGGCAAAATGTGTCTAATAATATGTTTAGGAAATAGTATCTGAGTAGGTCGCTTCTCAGACTGGACTATTACTGTCTGTTATGTAAACAGTATATGAGTGTTCTTATATTCTGTACATATGCATGCACACTAACAGCACATTCACAATAGACCTGTCACGAGTTATTTCAGCTGAAATCTTACTTTTGGTGTCCAGACCTCCTCTGTAGCCTGTCCAGCCCTTCAGTGTAACTGTGTCACCCAAAAGATTCAATAATCTTTGAAAGCTGCCACTTCCAGTTTCTACAAGTGGAGAAAAGCAGTGTTAGGTATGAAACAGTTCATCAGTATGGAAGATGCAACTGCGTATGAACCACAATACAGAACACAGGGCCTACTCCCCAGCTTATATTCAGGCAAGCACTGCTTCTTCATGTGAGTGTCCCGTTTCTATATTAATTCTCTAAATATCTGCATGGGTATATTAGAAATTTAATACATGAAACAGGAATGTGTGAGCTGACCCATTGGCTCAACAGTAGAGGAACACGCTACCATGTGGGAAACTAGAATTTCACAATTGAGTTCAATTCTCCTCATATCACCCAAGCCTGGGAGCTCTGTGAAAGCAGCACTGTCAGCCTTGAGGAACATGTAGAAAAAGGGATCACCATGTGTTTACTAAACAGTGACTCCCTCTTGCTAATTCTGATGGCACAGGGACAGTCATCATGATGCAAGGCCTCAAGAAAATAAAATGGGAAATAAGTGGTCCTTTGGGATCCTGAGCCCCACTTCCTCCAATCCCTTAAAAGAATTATGGATATTTTTATTTCAAATTTGGCTTGTGAACTTGAGAGTACAAATATATTAGACAATATCTGAAAACAGCACCAACACACCAGAAGCTGGCCAAAGCTTTAATCATACAAAACTCAATTTTTTTTCAAGTGTAATTTTAAAGTATACAAAGCCCACATTAAGAAAAAAGTCAAAACCCAAAAGTCTGGGTTTTCTGATTATTGTTAGCCAGATGAAAATGAAAATTCTCACAAACACAACTATTCAAAGAAATTATATTTAATGTGTGAGAAATCAAAAGTATTTTTTTGGGTATACAACAATCTCAAACTCTGGGGAAAAAAACAACCAACAACGGATCCAGCCCCTTTCCAGCTGCCCAAAAGGTAGTTTTCAAATATCTTTAGAATTATTGTAAAGAAAACCAGAGTTCTTGGAGATGTCCCTGCATATTCCTATTTATGGGATATTGCACCACCCTGTGGTGCCTTGCACTAGAACCCTTTGAACCTACCCTTCTAGCAGTGTAACTGCGGCACTCCTGCACCACTGCCCCTCTCCTCAGCATACCCAACATACTGAAGATGAGGCTATAAATGGGGTAGAGCACCCTCCCAATTGCTTCCTCCACAAAGCCAGAGAAATCATGACCAGGATTCTGACGGAGAGGGGAAGAAGGGGAAGAAGCGTGAATATGCAGAGCCATTTCAAAGAACTCCAGTTAAAGGTAAATAACCTTCATTTCTTCTTTCAGTGGGTCTGCATATTCCCATGTATGGGACAGATTGATAAAGGGCACTGAGACTAACATGGAGGTAGGAACATAGTCTTAATTGAATACAGACTGAAGCCCTCTTGCCAACCCCAGTATCCACTCTAGAAGCCAAATTCAGAGCATAATGCTCGGTGATGGTGTGTACCAAAGTCCAGGTTGTAGCTTTGTAGATCTCAGCATCTGGCACCTGCCTAAAACAAGCAAAAGAAGCAGCCAGAGCTCTAATGTAACGTGGTCAGATTGAATACACTGTTTAATACACCAGGATATATTCTGAGAAGAAACCATATGCCCCATATTATTCTTGACATACATAAAAAACAGTCTAGATACTTTTACAAAAACTCTTAGTTCTGTCCAAATAATATGCAAGAGCCCTTTGGGCATCCAGTTGGTGGAAGACAGATTCCCCTTTATCAGAATGTCGTTTAGGGGAAAAAATACCCACTACCATAGGCAAGAACCAAGGATCAGGTTTAAGAATTACCTTGTCTCTATTAAAGGAAGTAAAAAGGTGAATCAGCCATGACCCCAGTCAACTCACTCACTCCCCTGGCTGATGTAATGGCAATAATGAAGACAGTTTTGAAAGGCAAATAATAAAATGAACACTCTGCCAAAGGCTCAAATGGAGGTTTTATCTACATGGTCAAAACCAAATTATGGTCCCCCAAAGGGGCAGGATCTCTCACAGGAGCATACAAGTTTGATAAACCTTCCATGAGCTTCTTACTGGAAACATGAACAGTGATCTACCATCAACCAACGTATGATCCGTGGAGATGGCTGCCAAATGAACTTTTAACAATGAATTAGACAACACTTGATTTTTTTAAGTACATTAAGTATTCCAGAACACAAGGGATAGAAGACTGTAGGGGAACCAGACTTCCCATGCATCCATGCCTGAAATCTGGACCACGTCAGATAGTGGTAGTTTCTAGTGGACTGTTTTCTAAAACTAACTAGTATGTCCTGCACGGATGAAGAACATAACTGCTCAAGAATAGAGAGTCAAATCCCAGTCACTCAAGCCATCAGGTACAAGGATTGCAGGTGCAGATGAAAGATCCTCCTCCTGGGACAGATCTGAGGACAGAGGAAGATGCATGAATGAGATGAGATAAGCAAACCACTGCTGACATTGCCACGCCGGGGCAATGAGTATCACCCATGCCCTGTCCTGAAGTATCTTCCTTATTGCCTTCTGTATCAAGGGAAAGGCAAACATCAGACCCTTCCCCGCAGTGCAGAAGGAAAGCATCCAATAGGGACTCACTGTCCCGGCCCATTCTGGAACAGAAACAGTGGCATTTCCTGTTGAGTCTCGTCATGAGCAAGTCCACAACTGGCTGACCCCACCTCAAAAATACAGTCTGAACTCGCTTATCCTTTAAGAACCACTCGTGCATCTGAGAGCCATCTCTGCTCAGGTGATCTGCAACTACATTGTTCTCACCTGCCAGATGTAGTACCACAGGATGAATGTCATGGCAGATACACCAATCCCATAACTTTGTCACCTCCACACACAAGGGGGTGGAATAAGCTCTCCCATTTTTCGATATAATACATCACCAATGTATTGTCTGTTATTACGTGCAAAACCTTCCCTTGCAGAATACAGATGAATGATTTGAGAGTCAAATCCCAGTTCCAGTACGCTGAAGTGCAATGCTCTTTCCTTGGATGACCAGAGCCCTCAAACTGTCAAGTAATTCAGGTGTGCCCTGTTTGACCACCAGTCTGGACATACTATAAGGTGGTGAGGCATGATAATCAATAATTGAAAGCTGGCCCAACTTGGGCTGGGGACCCAGGACATCCAGTGCTGAATGGGTCTCATTCTCAGCTGTGCAGAGTCCACAGGTAGTGATTGCCATAAAACCCATGAGAAACCTTGCCCCTCTGTATAGGACAACTTCAAATCTTTAATATACTCTGTCTCATTCTTAGAAACCTGTAGTGTGGCAGAAAAACTCTCCCTTCTACAGAGTTTAATATGGCCCCTTTAAAGGGAATCCTTTGAGTATGACAGAAAGAATCCTAGGTCTGAGAGAAGTTTGGTCTTGGTGGCTATGTGGCTCATCAGGTCCTCATGCACAGTTGCCTTTAGCAGCTAATCATCCAAGAAGGGGTAAATGAAAATACCCTGATTCCTTAAATAAGTCACTACTGCAGAAAGACATTTTGTAAGTACTCTGGGTGCCAAATGGGAGCACCTTGTACTGGAAATAGTGACCAGCAATCACAAATCAGAGATACTTTAGACAGTGGCGTAGCCAGGTGGAAAAAACAGGGGGAGCAGAGATTAAAAAAAGGCACCACCCCCTGGTACTCACCCGGCGGTGCTCGGATCTTCAGCAGCACTTTGGCATTGGGTCCTTCACTCGCTCCAGTCTTCGGCGGCATTGTGGTGGCCAGGGGGGCTGTCCTTCAGTGCCGAAGACCGGAGCGAGTGAAGGACCCAATGCCAAAGTGCTGCTGAAGATCCGAGCACCACCAGCTGAGTAAAAATTTTAAAGGTACCTAGTAAGTAAATGGGCGCCGTGGCTGCTGTCCTGCTTCCCCCCTAGCTACGCTACTGACTTTAGATGATTTTGACGGATTGCTATATGAAAATGCTAAACTAACTCTTAGAAGAGAAGACTCTGCCTCTGAGGACATCAGAGGGGTTCACATCCACCCAGGCATGCGGTTAGGCAGACTGGAGATGGGAGGGCACTTCGCCCCCTTTGTAGCCTCACACTCAATTTGTGGGGTATGTTGAGGAAAGAGGTGGGGCTGCAGGAGCCCCATAGCTACACTGCTAGAAAAAAAAGGTTCTACCAAAAGGTGGCACAATATTTCATAAGTGGGAATATACAGAGCTACTCAAAGTGCATTTGCAATATCACACCAGTGTCGGAAAAACAACTGGGAGAAGCATACAGAAAAGATCCACCATTAGCATAGCACTAATAGCCATCTCTCTTCTCCACAGCCAATATACAGAGTCAATATGCAGTCCTGTTGTTTTTACATTCGGGCAGCCAAATGTGTTCAATTACCAAATGAAAAGGTGAAAAGAACGTGCTGACTCACCATTGCTGAACATTTCATCATCTGTAAGTTGACCATCTTTAGCATAAAGAACGCCAAACTTAAAATTTACGCAGCCCTGAGAAAAAAAACAGAGCTATAGGGTGTTAATCAGGAAAGGTCAGCAAGTGTACTTTTCTTATCATTTTTCCACTAAGGATTTGTATACAAGTACTATTTATGAAAATATATGGCCCTTATCCTTGTGTTACACAAATATCACATTTATATTTTTCTCCACTAATTTATCTTTGAGTCATATGATGAAATTCTATTTATGTACTTAAATGTATTCACAATGGAACTTACAATCTTCAGCTTTGCACGCTCCACAGTGCCTCACATTACAGTTCTTGTTACAAGAAATGACTGCTACAAGAAATTACATATAAAGGGGAACTTATTCTAAATGCAAAGCTAATATTCGCTGAAGGGGTTTTGTGAGTTCAAAGTGATCAGTTTACACTTACTTCTTGCTCTTCAAGAACCAGTAAATCCTGTTTAAAAAAAAAAAAAGCATGGTTAGCACTCTGACAAAGACCTAGCCATCTTATTTCCACTCCTTTAAAAATCAAAGTTGTTTTCCTTTTCAAGTGACACTTCAACACACTTCAAGCCACAATGTTTTTTGGCAATGTCACAGAACTGTAATCTGCACCATCATGTCCTGCCACTGCAACTGAGCAACAACTAGTACAATTATTTCTATAAATAGTGTATTCTAAAACACAAGAGGGAAGAAAACTGTCTCTTTCTTACCTTTTGTATCTCAGGGTGAGGAATTTCCCTAGGGCTTTTTTCAAATTTGTCAAGACTCATGGCACTGAAATGCAATTAAAAATAATATATTTTGTAAGAGAGAAAGAATATTTTTCAATATTAGCCATTTAGTGTTACACACCTGCACATAAAGAATTAACCAAATAGCCATTTTATCATACATGTTTGCATTCTCATGATCTCTTTGCCATGTGACACTGACTACTACATGGGAATTTTACAGAAAGAAATGAGTAAGATATTGCATTGCCATCAAGTTAAACCTTATTTTGTTTGCATATAAAGCTCTGAGCTAAGGACTATCAGTTATCCTTTTAATATGACACAAGAGAGAATTTTGTTTTGTAAACTTTTCCTCCACTTCCTAAAAAGTAACATAAGGGAAGTGAAAATCAAAACAAACAGGTGTATTATTAAGCTTAACACAAAACTACAACCTAAATATGCACAAGCAACACAGGAAAATAGAAAAATAGTCAACTGTATACATAAGAAACAGGATAAAACCTTTGTATATGCAGAAAAATACAAAATATGACTTATTAAACAGAAAAGAGACAGTTACTTTTTCCATAAGTGGTGTTCTTCGAGATGTGTTGCTCATGTCTATTCCACAATAGAATATCCATGTGCACCAGTGCCGGAAGTTTTTCCACTAGCAGTACCTGTAGGGGGGAGCGCCCCCATGACCTCTGTAGGGGCGCCTGCCTGACGCAGTATAAGGGGAGCTGCGTGCTCCCCCCACCCTCAGTTCCTTCTTGCCAGACAACTCCGACAGAGGGGAAGGAGGGTGGGATGTGGAATAGACATGAGCAACATATCTCAAAGAACACCAGTTACGGAAAAGGTAACTGTCTTTTCTTCTTCGAGTGATTGCTCATGTGTATAGCACAATAGGTGATTCCAAGCTATATCTGTTGGAGGTGGGTAGGAGTTCACAAGTTCCCAGGACGGAGTACCACCCTGCCGAACCTAGCATCATCCCTGGCCTGGGAGACGATCACATAGTGTGAGGTGAATGTGTGAACCAAAAACTACGTGGCAGCCCTACAAATGTCCTGGATGGGGACATGGGCCATGAAGGCAGCCGACGAGGCCTGCGCCCGAGTCAAGTGTGCCCTCACAATGGGCGGCGCGGAAACCCCCATCAGCTCATAACAGGAACAGATGCACAAAGTGATCCGCTTAGAAAGCGGCTGAGTGGAAAGCGGCTGATCTTTTGCACGCTCAGTCAAGACAACGAACAGTTGCGAAGACTTTCTGAACGGCTTGGTCCACTCGAGATAGAAAGCCAGAGCTCGCCTCACATCGAGTGTGTGGAGACTAAGTTCCTCACTAGTCACGTGAGGTCTGGGGCAGAGGACTGGCAGAAAAACATCCTGACCCATGTGGGTAGGCGGAGACCACCTTCAGGAGGAACGCGTGGTGTGGGCGGAGCTGGACCTTGTCCTTATGAAAATCTGTATACGGTGGTTCGGAGGTTAGGGCCCTGAGCTCCGAGACCTGCCTGGCTGACGTGATAGGTACCAGGAAGGCCACTTCCACGAGAGGTGAGACCAGGAACACGTGACCAGTAGTTCAAACGGGTTCCCTGTGAGACGAGCCAACACCAGGTTTAGGTCTCACTGTGGAACCAGGGGCTTGGAATATGGGTAGAGACGGTCCAAACCTTAAGGAACTGGCAGGTCATAGGATGGGAAAACACCGTGTACCCTTGCACCAGGGGATGAAAGGCCGATATGGCCACCAAGTGTACCCTGACTGATGAGGGCGCCAGACCCTGGGCCCTCAGGTGGAGGAGGTAATCAAGGATAACAAAAATGGAGGGCAACAAAAATGATTAGGGGACTGGAACACATGACTTATGAGGAGAGGCTGAGGGAACTGGGATTGTTTAGTCTGCAGAAGAGAAGAATGAGGGGGGATTTAATAGCTGCTTTCAACGACCTGAGAGGGGGTTCCAAAGAGGATGGATCTAGACTGTTCTCAGTGGTAGCAGATGAAAGAACAAGGAGTAATGGTCTCAAGTTGCAGTGGGGGAGGTTTAGGTTGGATATTAGGAAATACTTTTTCACTAAGAAGGTGGTGAAACACTGGAATGCGTTACCTAGGGAAGTGGTGGAATCTCCTTCCTTGGAAGTTTTTAAGGTCAGGCTTGACAAAGCCCTGGCTGGGATGATTTAGTTGGGGATTGGTCCTGCTTTGAGCAGGGGGTTGGACTAGATGACCTCCTGAGGTCCCTTCCAACCCTTATATTCTATGATTCTATGATAAGCTGGATCGGGGCAGCCGTCGGGGAAATATCCTGGCCTGCCGCCCACCTCAAAAACCGAGACCACTTCCCCACATAGGAGCGGCGAGTGGAGGGCCATCTACTTTCGAGGAGGACTTGCTGAACCTGTTCCGAGCATGTCCTTTCCTTGCCACATAACCACTGAGCAGCCACGCTGTGAGGTGAAGCGTTGCTAGGTTGGGATGGAGGAGGCGGCCCTGGCCCTGAGAGAGCAGGTCCGGTTGGAGCGGCAACTGCCATGAGAGGGTCCCCTACCAGTGCTGCCTGGGCCACACTGGGGCAACGAGGACGACCCTGGCTTTGTCTGCCTTTATTTTCTCCAGGGCCCTGCTGATCAGAGAGAATGGGGGAAAGGCGTAGAGGAGCTGGCCTGACCAAGACACAGTAAAGGCATCGGAGATAGCACCCCTCCCAAGGCCCCCCCCCGGAGCAGAACCAGGGACTTTGTTGGTTCTGCCGGGTCGCAAATAGGTCCACCTGGGACTTACCCCACCTTCGGAAGAGCTGGTGAGCCACTTCCGGGTGTAGAGACCACTCGTGCAGAGAGAAAAAATTCCTGCTCAAGCCATCCGCCCTCACATTCCCGGCGCCCAGCAGGTGGAAGGCTTTTAGGTAGATGTCATGGGCTATACAGAAGTCCCACAGCCTGAGGGCTTCATGGCAGAAGGAAGAGGATCGGGCCCCACCTTGCCTGTTGATATAGAACATCGAGGCCGTGTTGTCCGTGAGGACCCTGACCTACCTTGCCTTCCAGGTGCGAGCGGAAGGCCATACACGCCAGTCGCACTGCCCTGAACTCCTTGACATTTATATGAAGGGGTAGGTCTTGTAGAGATCACAGGCTTTGGGTCTGAAAGTTCCCCACATGGGCCCCCCAACCCAGGTCCGATGCGTCGGACACCAGCTCCAACGACGGGGCCCTGTCCCTGAACAGGACCTCTTGGAGCCTGTTGTTTGGGGCGGACCACCACCATAGGGAGGTGATCATAGAGTTTGACACAGTGAGGACTTTGTCCGTTCTGTCCGTGGCCTGGGAGAACTGCAAGGCCAGCCAGAGCTGAACGGGCCTCATTCTGAATCTGGTGTGATGGACCACATATGTGTACGCAGACATGTGACCCAGCAGTTGCAGGCAAGCCCTGGCTGTCATCACCGGGAACCTTGTGACCAAGTTGATGAGCCCTTTCAGGGTCTCAAACCTATCTGGTGGGCAAGAGGCCCTGGCCAACATTGTGTTCAGTAGTGCCCCAATAAACTCTATGCATTGGACCAGGACTAACGTGGACTTGGCATTGTTTATCAACAGGCCCAGGGTAGTACATGTGGACAGGACGAGCATCACATGATCCCTCACCTGTGACCAGGAGGTGCTTTTGACTAGCCGGTCGTCCAGATATGGGAATATTTGGACCCCCTGGTGTCTGAGATAGGCCGCTACCACCCCCATACACTTTGTAAAGACCCTGGGGACAGTGGACGGACCAAACGGTAGGACCATGAATTGGTAGTGACTGTCCCACCATGAAACGGAGGAAGCGTCTGTGCCTCTCGAATATGTGGATGTGGAAGTGCGTGTCCTGTAGATCGAGGGCACCGTACCAGTCCCCGGGATCCAGGGAGAGGATGATGGAGGCCAGGGAAACCATGCGGAACTTGAGTTTCACGATGTAGTGGTTCAGGCCTCACAGGTCCATGATGGGCCTAAGCCCCCCTTTAGCCTTTGGGATAAGGAAATACCGGGGGTAATACCCCTTGCCCAGGAACTCCTTGGGCACTCTCTCTATAGCTCCTAGGTCCAGGAGCCGCCCCACCTCCTGCTCGAGCACAGCCTTGTGAGAAGGGTCCCCACGAGGGACGGGGGCGGAGGGCAGTTGGGCGGGGAGGAGGTAAACTGAAGGGTGTAACCCCAGGAGATGGTGTTGAGGACCCATCGGTCCGAGGTTAGCCGCGACCATTCCGGAAGGAAAGCACACAACCAGTTGGAGAAGGGGAGCTTTATTGAGGGCGGATCCCTGATGAGGACTGGTGGGGTCCCCCCGAGCTGCCCATCAAATGCACCTTTTCCCTGCCTGCTTGCCCTTAGAAGACCCAGGCTGAGGGGCAGGCTGGGATTGCCTTTGCGGGCGCTTTCTGTAGTCCCACTGCTTTTTGTGGGTGGCCTCGTACTTCTGGAGGGTGGCCTGGATGGGAGCCTGTTGCAGCTTGAACTTGGGTTTTGTGGGAGAAGGGACATAGAGGGCCAAGGTCTGGAGGGTCGTACGGGAGTCTTTCATGCCATGCAGCCTTGTGTCTGTTTCCTCAGCAAACAGAGCCTTCACGTCGAAAGGGAGATCCTGCATTGACGACTGTGCTTCACTGGAGAGCCCAGAGAGTAGAAACCATGACGCCCATCTTATGGACACCGCTGAGGCCATGGACCGTGCAGCTGTGTCTGCTCTATCCAAAGCAGCCTGCAGGGATGCTCTTGCAACTGCCTCCCCTTCCTCCATGAGCGCCTTAAAGTCCTTCTTATCGCGCTCCTGGAGGGAGTCCTCAAACTTGGAGAGGGATTCCCGGAGGTTAAACTCGTAGCGAACCAGAAGAGCCTGATGGTTTGCTACTCGTAGCTGAAAGCTTGACGACGAATAAATTTTTCTCCCGAAAGCATCCAGCCTCTGAGAGTCTTTGTTCTTGGGGGTCGTGGCTGGTTGCCCCTGCTGCTCCCTGTGGTTGACTGACTCGACCACCAAGGAGTTGGGCACCAGGTGGGTATACAGATACTCATGTCCCTTCATGGGTACAAAGTACTTGCGCTCCGCCTTTTTAGAGATGAGAGCCAATGAGGCTGGTGTTTGTCACAGGGCATTTGAAATTCTTGCCACCCCTTCATGGAGCTGCAAGGCCTGGTGCTGAAGGGGACAGCCCATTGAACAGGGAGTCTGAGGGCTCTTCCATCTCCTCAGCTTGGAGGTGGAGGCTCGTTGCCACCCTTTTTAGGAGGTCTTGGTGGGCCCGGTAGTCCTCCTGCGGGACAGAGGGGGGCGGGGCCACAATCAGCTCCTCCGGACGGGGTGACACCAGTGCGGTGCTTTGGATGTCGTCTGGCACCCGAGGATCCACCACTTGGTCGGACTCTGGGCACGGTACCGAGGACACAGGCCCCACCGACCTTTTTTCTGGTGGTCTAAAGATGGACGCCGATGGTGATTCCGAGGCCCCGGCCAGCGAGTGAGCCCCCACCAGGGGCTGCGCCGCAGGCCGCGCCGGAGGCCATGGTGCCCACTGGTACCACTGGGCCGGTCACAACGCTTGGTGCCATTGCGCTTGCTGAGGCACCAGCACGGCTGGCTGTTTGGGCTGGCTAGCTTGGCCTGTAGATGGGTGGCTGTGAGGTGAGGCCGAGCTGGCGTATGATCCGCTGCTGCCTCTGGACCGGGAACATCGGCGGTGCCAGGATCTACGTCGGCCAGGGGACTGCGATCTCGACGTGGAGGAGCAGCACCCACAGTAGAAGCTGCTCCGTGAGCGGCCTCGACGGGTGGACCCGCGTCAGCAAGATGCCGGCGATCGATGCCCGGGGCTATGGTGCCTTGGCAGAGACTTGGAACAGGAGTCTGAGCGGGAACTAAGTCAACTGAATGCTGCGCGCTTTAGCGTTGCCAGTGTAGACTAGCCCTAAATGTTAACACTTAACTATTGTACTTCATGGATAGGAGGACAAAAGACTAGATGGAGGGCAGGGAGGCCCATGTAAGCTGTATACAGTAAGATGAGTAAGACCTTTAACAACACATGATGAGTTTGCAGGGGATAGGGGGTGTATTTGGTTTCCTTTCCTGAAAGCGTGTGTGGCGGGTGTCAGCTTTCAAAAGTCTGGAAAACAGTGCAGAAGAGAATCCACAATATCCCATATGAGAAAGCAGAGGAGAGAATCAGCTAAGGACTCCAATCCATTTAGGAATCTTTGCTTCTTCCTTGGTTGCCTTTACCCCCTCATTCACATTCTAGTCAGATCTCTCCATACAACTTTGTGAGGCTTCGCCTGGTCTGTCCACAAGCAAGCCCAAGATTTCTTCCTCTCAAGCACCAATTAGTTAGTTCCAGTTAGTGCCCAATTTCTAACTTGAAGATATTTCCCCCCATTCTGCCCCCCCCCAAAAAGGTGCTTAGATTTCTCCATTGCCATAGAGGTATCACAAGGCCATTACTTGGCATTCTATAGCACCTGTACTGGAGGCACCTTGCATATATGGCTTTCCTTAAGAACTGTATTCTTTGTTTCACTGTTTTCTACAGCCATAATGGAAAAGAAAATATGAACAGAAATAAAGCTTTTGAATGACAGAAAAGGAAAATAGGGCACAGACAAATACATTTAATGATATACATTTGTGAATATTTACCTTAAAATAGATTTCACTGATAATGTTTTCGTGGGACTGTAAGGGAGGCATATTTTCTGAGTACCCTATGAAGGAAAAATAATAGGAGAGGTTAAATCAAACGCTGAAATTCTCTATTTAACTAAGTATGACACTTAGTAAAAACAAGCAAACTAAAGACCAGGATCCCATCCGCAATGTTATTTAAATATATTTGTTAATTACCTGGAAAAGGGGAGGAAGAGTGATGTGACAAAACATAGAATCATAGAATATCAGGGTTGGAAGGGACCCCAGAAGGTCATCTAGTCCAACCCCCTGCTCGAAGCAGGACCAATTCCCAGTTAAATCATCCCAGCCAGGGCTTTGTCAAGCCTGACCTTAAAAACCTCTAAGGAAGGAGATTCCGCCACCTCCCTAGGTAACGCATTCCAGTGAAAAAGTTTTTCCTAATATCCAACCTAAACCTCCCCCACTGCAACTTGAGACCATTACTCCTTGTCCTGTCCTCTTCTACCACTGAGAATAGTCTAGAACCATCCTCTCTGGAACCACCTCTCAGGTAGTTGAAAGCAGCTATCAAATCCCCCCTCATTCTTCTCTTCTGCAGACTAAACAATCCCAGTTCCCTCAGCCTCTCCTCATAAGTCATGTGTTCCAGACCCCTAATCATTTTTGTTGCCCTTCGCTGGACTCTCTCCAATTTATCCACACCTTCTTGTAGTGTGGGGCCCAAAACTGGACACAGTACTCCAGATGAGGCCTCACCAATGTCAAATAGAGGGGGACGATCACGTCCCTCGATCTGCTCGCTATGCCCCTACTTATACATCCCAAAATGCCATTGGCCTTCGTGGCAACCAGGGCACACTGCTGACTCATATCCAGCTTCTCGTCCACTGTCACCCCTAGGTCCTTTTCCGCAGAACTGCTGCCTAGCCATTCGGTCCCTAGTCTGTAGCTGTGCATTGGGTTCTTCCGTCCTAAGTGCAGGACCCTGCACTTATCCTTATTGAACCTCATCAGATTTCTTTTGGCCCAATCCTCCAATTTGTCTAGGTCCTTCTGTATCCTATCCCTCCCCTCCAGCGTATCTACCACTCCTCCCAGTTTAGTATCATCCGCAAATTTGCTGAGAGTGCAATCCACACCATCCTCCAGATCATTTATGAAGATATTGAACAAAACCGGCCCCAGGACCGACCTTTGGGGCACTCCACTTGATACCGGCTGCCAACTAGACATGGAGCCATTGATCACTACCCGTTGAGCCCGACAATCTAGCCAGCTTTCTACCCACCTTATAGTGCATTCATCTAGCCCATACTTCCTTAACTTGCTGACAAGAATACTGTGGGAGACCGTGTCAAAAGCTCTGCTAAAGTCAAGAAACAATACATCCACTGCTTTCCCTTCATCCACAGAACCAGTAATCTCATCATAAAAGGCGATTAGATTAGTCAGGCATGACCTTCCCTTGGTGAATCCATGCTGGCTGTTCCTGATCACTTTCCTCTCATGCAATTGCTTCAGGATTGATTCTTTGAGGACCTGCTCCATGATTTTTCCAGGGACTGAGGTGAGGCTGACTGGCCTGTAGTTCCCAGGATCCTCCTTCTTCCCTTTTTTAAAGATTGGCACTACATTAGCCTTTTTCCAGTCATCCGGGACTTCCCCCGTTCGCCACGAGTTTTCAAAGATAATGGCCAATGGCTCTGCAATCACAGCCGCCAATTCCTTCAGCACTCTCGGATGCAACTCGTCCGGCCCCATGGACTTGTGCACGTCCAGCTTTTCTAAATAGTCCCTAACCACCTCTATCTCCACAGAGGGCTGGCCATCTCTTCCCCATTTTGTGATGCCCAGCACAGCAGTCTGGGAGCTGACCTTGTTAGTGAAAACAGAGGCAAAAAAAGCATTGAGTACATTAGCTTTTTCCACATCCTCTGTCACTAGGTTGCCTCCCTCATTCAGTAAGGGGCCCACACTTTCCTTGGCTTTCTTCTTGTTGCCAACATACCTGAAGAAACCCTTCTTGTTACTCTTGACATCTCTTGCTAGCTGCATGTAGATGATGCAACATTATTTAGGCTAATCTAGAGTACAATGAATGTTAGGAACTGCAGGGGGAACTAACAACGTTAGATGACTTAACAGCATGAGGGCTGATGAAATTAAGATGCAGACAATTGCAAGACAGTGCCATTGAGAGGAACACTTGAACTATGCATACGCATTAAGGGGTTCTAAGTTATCTGTAACTACTTAGGAAAAATTGTCACTGTGTATCACTATGGACTGCTAAATTGAATCTTCTCAATGTACAGCAGTAGTCAAAAAAAACAAAAAACAAAATATTAAGCTTTATTATAATTATAATGCCATTACAAAAATTGATAGTATGTCCTCACCTGGAATACTGTATTTAGTTTTGGCCACTCATCTCAGAATTAAAGAAGTGTTGCAGATAAGGACCATGAAAATGATTAGTAGCATGGATAGATTCCCATATGAGGAGAGACTAAAAAAATTAAGGCAATTTAAGTTTAGAGAGCCCACATAAGAGGTAACATGTTACAAGTATAAAAATATTGAGTTGTACAGAGAAAGAAAGTCAGGTGCTCCTCTTCACAGTCTCATAATACAAGAACCATAGAATCATAGAATATCAGGGTTGGAAGGGACCTCAGGAGGTCATCTAGTCCAACCCCCTGCTCAAAGCAGGACCAATCCCCAGCTAAATCATCCCAGCCAGGGCTTTGTCAAGCCTGACCTTAAAAACCTCTAAGGAAGGAGATTCCGCCACCTCCCTAGGTAACGCATTCCAGTGAAAAAGTTTTTCCTAATATCCAACCTAAACCTCCCCCACTGCAACTTGAGACCATTACTCCTTGTCCTGTCCTCTTCTACCACTGAGAATAGTCTAGAACCATCCTCTCTGGAACCACCTCTCAGGTAGTTGAAAGCAGCTATCAAATCCCCCCTCATTCTTCTCTTCTGCAGACTAAACAATCCCAGTTCCCTCAGCCTCTCCTCATAAGTCATGTGTTCCAGACCCCTAATCATTTTTGTTGCCCTTCGCTGGACTCTCTCCAATTTATCCACACCTTCTTGTAGTGTGGGGCCCAAAACTGGACACAGTACTCCAGATGAGGCCTCACCAATGTCAAATAGAGGGGGACGATCACGTCCCTCGATCTGCTCGCTATGCCCCTACTTATACATCCCAAAATGCCATTGGCCTTCGTGGCAACCAGGGCACACTGCTGACTCATATCCAGCTTCTCGTCCACTGTCACCCCTAGGTCCTTTTCCGCAGAACTGCTGCCTAGCCATTCGGTCCCTAGTCTGTAGCTGTGCATTGGGTTCTTCCGTCCTAAGTGCAGGACTCTGCACTTATCCTTATTGAACCTCATCAGATTTCTTTTGGCCCAATCCTCCAATTTGTCTAGGTCCCTCTGTATCCTATCGCTGCCCTCCAGCGTATCTACCACTCCTCCCAGTTTAGTATCATCCGCAAATTTGCTGAGAGTGCAAACCACACCATCCTCCAGATCATTTCTGAAGATATTGAACAAAACCGGCCCCAGGACCGACCTCTGGGGCACTGCACTTGACACCGGCTGCCAACTAGACATGGAGCCATTGATCACTACCCGTTGAGCCCGACAATCTAGCCAGCTTTCTACCCACCTTATAGTGCATTCATCCAGCCCATACTTCCTTAACTTGCTGACAAGAATACTGTGGGAGACCGTGTCAAAAGCTCTGCTAAAGTCAAGAAACAATACATCCACTGCTTTCCCTTCATCCACAGAACCAGTAATCTCATCATAGAAGGCGATTAGATTAGTCAGGCCTGACCTTCCCTTGGTGAATCCATGCTGACTGTTCCTGATCACTTTCCTCTCCTATAAGTGCTTCAGGATTGATTCTTTGAGGACCTGCTCCATGATTTTTCTGGGAACTGAGGTGAGGCTGACTGGCCTGTAGTTCCCAGGATCCTCCTTCTTCCCTTTTTTAAAGATTGGCACGACATTAGCCTTTTTCCAGTCACCCGGGACTTCCCCCGTTCGCCACGAGTTTTCAAAGATAATGGCCAATGGCTCTGCAATCACAGCCGCCAATTCCTTCAGCACTCTCGGATGCAACTCGTCCGGCCCCATGGACTTGTGCACGTCCAGCTTTTCTAAATAGTGCCTAACCACCTCTTTCTCCACAGAGGGCTGGCCATCTATTCCCCATGTTGTGATGCCCAGCGCAGCAGTCTGGGAGCTGACCTTGTTCGTGAAGACAGAGGCAAAAAAAGCATTGAGTACATTAGCTTTTTCCACATCCTCTGTCACTAGGTTGCCTCCCTCATTCATTAAGGGGCCCACACTTTCCTTGGCTTTCTTCCTGTTGCCAACATACCTGAAGAAACCCTTCTTGTTACTCTTGACATCTCTTGCTAGCTGCAGCTCCAGGTGCGATTTGGGAATGAAGGGACAGCCAACAAAAATTAAGTCCAGTAAATGAACAAACAGAAGAAAATATTTTTACAAAATGCATTATTCAACTTTGGAACTCAGTGCTACAAGATACTGCAGCAAAAATTGCAGGGTTAAATAAAATATTATATATTTAGGTGGATCATAAAAATATTCTCAGTTATATTAGCTAGGATAAAAATTCAAAAGGTATATAAATCTTCATGCATCAGGACTTAATCTAATCACTAACTGTCTTGGGTTAGGAAAAAAGTAAGATCATGCCTATAGGTGAAGTTAACTACCCATTATGGAAACTCTTAAACCTTCCCATAAAGTATCTGATATTAGCCCCTGTGAGAGAGAAGCTACCCGAGTACCTGAACCCAAGGGTGGCTTAAGTAAGACATAGGCACTACAGTCCTGCGTCTGGGGCCTCCGCTCCTGGAGACAAATTACAGCAGAATCTGAGCTCTCATTTTAAAAAGTTTCTAGTCCCCATGGTTGGGAAGAAAAACTTAAACATTAACTGACTGACACAGTAACATCTCCTTGAGTTTGCAGAGAGCCTGAGATAATAGTTCTGAGAGGTTTGAACTACCTCATTCATCTTAATG